CAAAATATAACGTTAAAAATAAAAATAGAAATGATTTAATTTTCACGTGACTTCCGTAGTAATTTGGTTTGGTTGGAACGGCAACGTGGGACCTCTCTATCGGTCCTCATTTTACTATCTCACAACATCAACTGGCCAAAAATTCCAGTTATCTATTTGATCCCATCTACCTGCAGGCCAATAATAAACAGCTTCCACAGATTTCCAAAATGAAACAAAATAGTTGTCATTTTCATCATTAAACTCTTTTTTAATGATAATATTTTGGAAAGGATCATTACTATTATCAAGAAGCATTGAGGCACTACTGTAAATTTTGAAAGTATCAAAATTTGGACCTGAACCAAGTTCAGTTACACCATACTGTAATAATATGAACCTAAAAAAAAATATAAATTTATTATTATGAATAATTTAATTTAATTAAAAAAAAATCAAACTTACATTGCATGACCAAACCCAAAAATCACAATCAACATGAAAACCAAAAATGGCCAAATACTTTTTACTATATCAATTATCAAATTGATAAAATGTGCAGGGCGTGAAAAAAATCTTAATAATAATAACTATTGGAAATTTAAAAAAAATTTATTAGTGTTGTTACTATTAATCATAATTTTTATAAAAATAAATAAATAAAGTTTACTTACAAACTCCAACCACAAAATTAATACAATAAATGAATTAGCAATTTTTGCTATTACAGAAAATTTATCAATATCATATTTATCTGCTAAAAAATTGTGTAAATCATCAGCAGAAGGATCCCCAGAATTTATAAACTTTATTGAAACTGCATATATTTTCACCCTATAAATATAATTTCCAAGCACTGATGCAAATGGAAACAGGATTGATGCAAGATCAATAAAATTATAAAAAGTTATCTGAACAAATCATTACGTGAGTTCATTTAGTTATTGTATTTTATTCTCCACAATCATTGCGGAGGAAAATTACCATATATACTTATTTAATAGTAATAATAATGATAATAATAATAATAATAA